GCCTTTTTGATGATCCTTTGCCATTTTGGATATTAACCGACCCTAGGCTTGCTACCCGTCTTGAGGAAATCAGTGTGAAGCGCAACCGAGATGGATGGACGTTGACGGACCAGCTTCTTGAGTACGGTCAGTGCTATCATTTTTCTGAGCAACGTTTCTCTTGAGCTTTATGTGCGCTGATGTAACAAGCAATTTAGAGGGTACTGAGGAAGCGTCGCGCCCAATTGATGTCCACTTTTGGTACGACACTGTTGGAACACCTTCGGAAGCGTGTCCAAAGGGTAATGCGCTCGTAATCACTGTGAGATGCATGCCTAACAAGAAGGAGCCTGAGGTTAATGCAGCAGCTTTTCTAGTAGCCTAGAACTTATGATAGTCAAAGAAAAACTAGAGGAGAACTTTCCCCGTTCTTTGCAGATTCGTCTTCCTCGTTCTTGCCCGGATGGAACTTGCGATGGATGCCTTTTTCATGCTATTGTTGAATCAGTGCAGGTGGTTCTTTTGAGTTAAAGTAACTATCAGGTAAAGAAAAAAAGTAAGTAATCCACAGCGAATTTTGCACATAAATAAATTGTGTTGCTCATATGTTCGCTAAAGTGTGTCAAGAAAGTGGTCCATTTTTCCTAACTCAATATGATTACGTCAAGAATAGTCAGCCACCTAGACTAACCTCTTCTCCTTGATACATCATACAGTGCATCATTGATGTTCTCTTAGAAATACTGAACCTCTGTAAAAACTTGCATTATTATCTCTACACCTCTTTTCGCACCTTTTCAAATTTTTAGCCAAACGATGTATGTTCTGATGATCTTGTGCTGCTCTACAAAACCTCTTCGTCTTTCCCCCGGTCTTTTATTATTGATTCTCTAAAGGAATGGAATGTTAGGCAAAGACATCAATTCAACACAAACTATCGTTTGCTTTTCTAGGCCATATTTAGTGAGCGATTCATACATGTTCTGCTTACGGAGGTACCGATATCTGTAGTTCCATTTAAGAAGAGAATGATAGGAAATGTGTATACAAGATCAGATGCTGAAAGCATTTAATATTAGATCAGAATTGTCAAAAATCAACTAAAAGAGCGCAAAAAATTAACGAAAATCTGGATTTCGTGTAGCATCTTATCCCCAGTTAATTGTCGTATGTGAAAACGGCTACTATTGAGATTTCAAATAATATAGAGAATGGATGATTTCTGTCGTATTCACCCGTAGTAGAGAAAATGCTCAATTCTCGTTTCTTCGCCCATAATGAATCGCAGCGACGATTGACTATGCTTATAACGAAGGTATTGCGTCATATTGCTTGTGCCAAAAATGCTAACGACATATTC